ATATTCACTACTCCGCACATTTTCAAGGTGATTGCGGTTTGACAATTAACCTCCGAGCAAAACCTCTTAGTTTTTATCTCGGAAAAAATCGGTAACTGACGTTGGGAGAGTTGGTTTCCCGATGTGGATTTTATAACTAGAGACTAAGTCTAAAATTCACCGCTTAACTATATATTACGCGCGATACAGATCTGAATTAAGTTGAAGATTCCATTTGTTTCTACTTTTTAGTTTTNAAAAAATCGGTAACTGACGTTGGGAGAGTTGGTTTCCCGATGTGGATTTTATAACTAGAGACTAAGTCTAAAATTCACCGCTTAACTATATATTACGCGCGATACAGATCTGAATTAAGTTGAAGATTCCATTTGTTTCTACTTTTTAGTTTTGGTTTGAATTTTCTTGTAATCTGGCCCAAATTCGTTAAAAAATAAAGCAATTAGTGCTTAATTACGTAAATGATAAGAGAAAAACAAACAAACCAACCCAAAACAAATCGATCATTTTCGCCACGACACGTAGCAATCACGCTATCCCTTAGTGAAGAAAAGCAAAACCTTTTCGGAACTGGATAACAACAATAAACAAATCATTCAGTCGTTTTAGGTATATATTTCGCTGTGATTCGCCCCTTCATTGAAAAAGAGAGTGCAGAGATGCTTTCCTCAGTAGAGTCACTTCTGATAGAAAAAGATAATATTTTATAGGCAAAAAAAAGCTGAAGAAAACCATACCAGCCAAACAAGTATATATATACAAAATGCAGGGCGAAATAAGAAAACTACTTGCTAGTAGGAGACAGTATATGATACTTACACAACAAAACAACCTCTCCAATTGTGAAACCAAATCGCGGGCTCACTTGTCAATTCATGACAGGAGAAACGATAATTTTTTTTTTTGAGAAGACGGTTTCTTTTCCTCGGCGTCTTAAGGCAAACAAATCGCACACTCACTCACACTGGATGCAAACAAAACATAAAAGGCTTTTTTGTATACATGCGTAATAAAACTGGCACCTGTTCTCGCAGTGTATGGTCAACCCGCTGATGTTTAATGAACCACAAGCTGCGAGTGTCCCACTCATTAAACACACTGCCTTTGTGTCGAGTTGAAGATTGTTTTAAAAGCGCGCCACCTCTATAGCAATTACGTTATTTATGTTAATCGCCTTGTGGCGTTGTTATTTCGCGTTCTGAGATCTTGTAGGCGGTAAGACGTAATCGAAGTCGCGCTGAACAAAATGGGTTACAACACAAGTATTTTTGTCTCACAAGTGGACCGAAGCCTTCTGTGTGGGATTTGCGCGGGTGTGTTTAGAAAACCGCTTGTCACGCACTGCGGGCACACATTTTGCGAGGAGTGTTTAGAACGCTGGATGAGCGCTACAAGTCATGTGGATAAAACGTGCCCGGTTTGCCGACGCGACGTGGATTTGTCCAAGACCGCGCCCGTTTTGGCTTTGAGAGCATTCATCGAGGGGCTCTCTGTGGAGTGCGAAAATTCAATAAACGGCTGCACGATGGTGTTAAATCTTGGCGAGTTGGAGAGCCATTTGAAGAGCTGCCGTTATACCCTCCTGGAATGCAATAGTTGTGATAAAATGTTTTTACAAAGCGAAATTCATGAACACCGAAGCCTATGCGTCAAGCTTAGTGATAAGAGCTTTATCGACGGCCGCGTTCATGCCGAGATTGCGGCGATTCAAAAAGAGTTAAGCCAGACCAAGAAATCGCTTCAGAGCTCGGAAGAAACAGTGCGCAGACTCAAGAAAAGTCTACGCGATTTGCGCGTGCGAAAGCAAACTCGACTGAGCCAACCGAATGCTGAAGATTTCGATCCAGCGTGGGATCCAGATTACGCCTACGGATATTCTCCTCGAAGCATTGCTCATCTTGCCAGTTTTATTTCCCGTTTTCTGATCAACAAACCTTCGTATGTAGATCTGGAACGTATCTTCGCTTGTCTTAAACGCTGTTTCGACTTCTACCACAACTGCGCAGCTTACTGGCAAGATGTTCATATGCTCCTGGCCACTGCAGCGGCCTGTCATTGGTTCACGGAATCGCAGCGGGGAACGCTTAACACCTGGTTAAAAAGCATAGCCCGAGAGCGTCTATTGAGCTGATATTGGCATTCGTGCAAAAAAAGAAGAAAAGAAGAAACAACAAACAGTCACAGTCTCGACAGTCAAGTAATTTTTTTTTTTAAACACATCTAGTTAGTTTTCAATGAGATCACTGAATTCGAATTGGACATCTCTTCCTGATCGATACAGAAGGTGCTGCACCACGTTGCTTGGCAACGCCACTGACCACAAAACTAGTACAGGACCAAGGACTCAATCACTCTTAGAATAATTTCTGCTTACGCAATATAAGACCGTTAATTTGTAAGAGACTTTTGGCTCTGATACAGTAGTTGTAGCGTCCAGAAACTCAAGGAACAATCACATTTTTTGCGTAATAGGAGACTTCCCTGTTGAATGAACGATTAAGTCGATTTATGTAGTATAAATGCTAATTAAGAAACTGGCCGTTTTTCTTCATGTCTGCTGCTGTCTGAAGAATGGCGGAGAGAGGAACATCTTTTATAATTTAGCGTCAGAAATTGATTCAGTGGCGTTTTCAAAATAAATGGTTGCCATAAAATATGCCAGTCGTGCGGGAAGTTTCAAGTTGGTAATAAATTGGCTCTAAACGTTTGAAAAAGTTTAAAATTGCAGAAAATTGCGGCTTTATATTACTCATAACACATTTCTATTTAGTTTAAGATCCGACTGTTCTTTTTACATCA